TAAAAAAATAAAAATTTTAATGAAATGGGAAAATTCCTAAAAAATATATAATTTCCAAAGATTGAATAACAAAAAAACCCTAAAGTTCTAAGTATGAAGGAGATTTAATCAGTGAAATTCTTCCTACAGTAATAGTTTACAGTTATATTCTACCAAATGTTCAAATAAAGCACCATTCCAACCATAGACCAACTGCTAGAGAACACGAACAGAGGGAATGCTCTCAACTCATTCTTTGAGGCCTGTTTAATCCTGACTACAAAAGTGAACAAGATGTGTGGGAGAAAGGAAAACCACAAACCAGTCTCCATTATGAATGTAGATGTGTGAATCCTTATTAAAATATTAACAGAACCTAGTCCAGCTATGTATAAAGATATACTATGTCTGTGGGAGTGGAGAACTAGGGGAGGGAGGTGGGGGAAAGTTAACCCAGGAATGCCAAAGTTGTTCATCGTTTTAAAATTCCTAAAAATGTCTTTCATTTATCATATTAAATCCTTATTATCCTCCCAGTAGGTTCAGATGCATCAAATAAATTCAACATTCATGATTTTTAAAAAATATTCTTAGCAAACTAGAAACAGAGAAGGATTTTCTTAATCTGAAAAGAATGCAGAAAATGTGCCACTTTATTTCTAAAATTTATAAACAAGTTAATCTGGACAACATATTTTGGCATATACATATATTAGATAAAACAGTGAAGAGGCAAGAGAATGATAAACACAAAGTGCAGCAGAGTGGTTAATAAATGTGTGTGTGTTTATGTGTTAAATATATATCCAAATCAATATAAACATACATTCAAATAAATACAGTATTTTTTTAAATAAAGAAAAAATTAATTGAATAAAGTTAGGACACTAAAGATATTTCTGTGGACTCTCAAAACATGAGTAGAAGAAATTGGCTGTAAAAAAGAAATAGAAACTTCATCTTCAATGAAATTTGGTTTTGTGAGCTTTCCTCAACAGTCCAGATGTAAGACAGAGGAGGGAGACCAATTCTTAATCTAGGGTTACATATTTCCTGAGCAATTGCGGCAGATAGATAGGAATTGAGTGAAGGTGCCAGCAAGAAAGTAGTTACAACATGGAACTGTGGGATGGCAAGTTTGGTGGGAAAAGAAGTGAATCTGAGCAGTGGAAGAAGGATTAAGAGAACATAGAGGGATTAAACAATTGCAAGTTAGAAGAATCAAGAGCTTGTTTTTGCCTGAGTCCAGGGGAGGGACAAATGAAGGCAAGAGAGAACAGTAAGTGTAGGGAGGTTGCAACCAGAAAGTAGATTGTTGGGGGTTAAAGATTTAGGAAGTGAAGCCAGTTAGGGCTGGTAGAGTGATTTCCTGAAGTGAGGTAGAATTGAAGTTTCTAAAGGAATCATAGATTGAGGTATTTTTAGATCCCCTTAAAAAAGGGACAGGGAATTGTGAGCTACTCTGGGGAATGGTTTTCCATGTGGATAATGAAGTTACCCAGAATGATTCTGAGTCAGAACTAAGATTCTTTTTCTCTATGGAAGTAAAATAACCTACGTTAGTTGATGTGTAGCTCATAAGTATGTTAGTTGATATAGAACTCATAAGTGTCAGAGCTAGGAGGATGGACTTTCAGGTAATTAATATAATTTCTCTGGTGTTTAGGAGGCAAGAGTCTTCCCCACCCTCTCCCCTCCTTTGCCACTGTGCCTCTTTGCTATGCCAATCCACTGTTTTGCTCCTGGGAGTCATACATATTAGCCAGCCAGACCTAGAGCCTCTCCCTTCCTGCTGTGTTCTGTTAATCTATTTAAGTTTTGTAATCCACATTAATTTGCACATATTAGATTTCCTCCTGGCTTTCTTCAGCTTTCATGCACTAGACAAAGCCATTGAACAGAATATTCCAGTATTTCACATCTCTTTTCTCTTTTGAAGCCAGCCTAGCAAATACAGACCAACAAAACTTAATGATTTCAACAAAACTTAATATTCAGAGTTTAAGTTACAGTCTTTAACTTTTTTTTATTTTTCTATCCCTCAGTGAATTGAAGATTATCTGTATGATCATTTACCCTCCAACATTATAGAGAAGTCTTAGCCTTTTTTCACAAGTATTGTGGCTTCTAACAGATTCCCTTAACCTTTTCGTTCTTTGAATAATTTATATTATCATTAACTTTTGTGCTAAAAATTAGAAAATATTCCCATTGGAATATGCCTATGTTCCTCTTAAGTATAATTGGAGAGATTATTGCTGCATGTTTTCAGGTGATATTTCCACTTACCCTGCTGTTATGCAAGATTTTAGTTGTGTCATACTGCCAGGAAGTCCCTGCTGGTCTGAGAATGACAACCATTATTTAACTTAAATCTCATCACGGAGTAATGATGTCAGACCACACATGAACTTTGGGCGAAAAGATTTCTACTGAGAACTATGTTGAATTCAGTATCTACATTACTGCCTTGAAATAGAGAGACCATTCACTGGCTGGTTTTTGTAGAAGATGCCATACAGATATTACACATAATTTGGTGAAAAGATACTAAAACTTAGTGCTATGTAATTCCACCTTAATACATTACAGTGAAGAAATAAATTCAATACAGTCAGACTCACTTCAAAGACATGTTATATAGCTTTTACAAATTATATTAAGCAATAATTTAGAAATATCAGGATACCCAGTAATATTTTTTTTGTTTGCTTATACATAGTTACCAGTGAAGAAGACAAGTTTGCTATAGGTAGAATGTAGGGAACAATATAGAAAGAATTACTATGAGTTGCTATTTAGTATATACAAAAGTTAAAATGAGGTTCAATCTTTTCCCATTCTGACTGAAATTTATAACAACAAGAAAAAAATGATAATTCATTTCATTAATGAGCAGTAGAAATAAAGAATAGCAATCTTGAAAATAGCACTCTTGTTAAAAATCTAAGTAGAGAAAAACTGGACCATGAATGGAGATGAGTGTTTGAACTGAGTCTTAAAATGATATAAGTAAAAGAACAGACATTATTTTGTAAGTTTGCCCTTTAAGAAAAACCCAAAAAGACTTAGAGTTAACTTCAAATATCCTTTGATTATTTTTAACACGGTAATTGCGTATTGCAAAAGAAAACATTTTAGAAGATGTGAAAAGGCCCAATCACTGTTTATAATTGACAAAATGACAAGAATTAATGTTAGAATTGCCCACAGTGGAGGAGAGCAGAAGTTAACATGAAAGGTTTTACTTCAAAAAATATTGTTGGCCAATGAAGATGCAATGCAAAATATAAAATTATGAGAATTTTTTTTAAATTGCGATCTGAGGCAAAGAACTTAATTTTTCTGAGCCTTGGTTTCTTATGTTTAAAAATGAAAATAATATATATCTCTCAGGTTTCTTGTGAGAATTAAATATTATGTGTAAACTACCTATTTTATTACATATCTCTCAATAAGTGGTTTAGTGACAGTTGTCGATTTCTTCTCCTCCTCCTTGATCATCGTCATCCTCATCACCATCATCATCATCATCATGTGGTTTAAACCAAGACCCATTTTTAAATCTCTCATTATTCTCATTGACTGGGCTCAGCTAAGCAGTTCCTTTGCTCCCTGTGAAGTTGTCTGGCATTTCAGTCACCTGGGAGGCTGGCTCTGGGCTTGGGAACTCATCTAGGCCTGGGATCCTGAGGTCCTCTATTCTCCTCCTCGGGCTGTCTACATAATGTGAGCTTTTCTCAGTATTGCAGCAGATTCTAGAAGACAGAGTTCCAAGAAAGAAGAGCAAAAGGTACAAGGCATCTTATGCCCTGGCCCCAGAAGTCACGAAACATCACTTCTGCTATATTCTGTTGGTCACAGGAAGTCACAGGTGGATCTAAGAGGAGCAGAAAATGACTCCTCTTTTTGATGGAGCAATAACAATATCACACTGCGAAAGAGCATGTGGGATATAGAGATACTGTTGCAGCCATCTTTGAATAACCTCTGCCCTATGCTATAAAAGAAGTATGAAGAAGCTCCCTGTGTATACATAAGAAAAGGTCTTCAAGATATATTGCTAAGTGAGAAAAGCTAGGTACAGAAAATAATACTATATTATAGTATAATATACTACCATAGTGTAAGGATATGGGGGAAAACATATTTGTATTTTCTTATGTATTTTTAAAAGTCTCTGAAAACATGCAAGAAACTAATACAACAGGTACCTGATGAGGTTGGAAATCAGGTGGTGAGGTGATAAAGTGAGGCTTTCACTGGATGTCTTACACTTTTTAAAAACAATTTGAATATTCAGATAACTTCTATTGTTTAAAAATTCAGTTTATAGGTTTCCTAATATATGGCCATCTAGCGTTTGTGTGAAAATCTACTTCCAAGATAGTGAATTCTGTTGTTTTCACCATTTACTCCAAAGGTGATGAATTCTGTTGTTTTAACCATTTAAAACACTGTCAAAAAGCCTTGATTTGTTTTGCCTTAACTAACTTTATCAAATTAACTGAATCATTCATTGACAAGACACACAGTACTTAACAGAGGCATTGTTGTAACAGTTTTATGGTATATTTCTGTATTTCAAATGTCTGAGTTATAATTTCATCTATCTTAATTTCATAATGTAACTTTAAACTTTATCCATAATTAATATTTCAAATACTGAAATTTGATTATTTAAAAGTAGTATTAACTGAAGTTATTAAGAATAATAATTTCAAAGGTATCTTCCTTTTTAGATTACTATGCCATGCTATGAAGGACCATATAGTTCGTGTTGCAAATGAAGCTGAGTTTATTTTGAACAGACAGAGAGCTGAGGATGTACATAAACATGCAGAGTTTGAGGTAAGGTTTTGGTGACAGATTAAATTCTGCTTCTCTGTTGTAAGTCAGCTATCACTGATGATAACCTTACATAAGAAGGTTTTTTTAAAAAGGAAAATTTCATTCAAGTCATTTCAGTTCTTTTTTTTTTTTTAAAGCTTTAGTAAATGCCAAACACAGAGCACTAATTTTTACCTCATTTACAGCATACAGAGATTCTTCTTACCATGTGCCTAACCCTTTGGTAGACCGAAGTTGTTCTAATGTACTCTTAAAGGCAAATAAAATTTTATGATGCAGTTACTTTAGTAATTTTTAAACTAGTTTATACATCACTAGAGATGGGTGTAACAAGTGGTTATATGAAGAAACTGTTTTACCAAATATTCAGTGATTTATTATTTATTAATGTATCCATCTTTAGAGTGACCAAAGATCACTTCAGTTCATGTTTTATTGTTATAATCAATATTTTATTGACAATTGAAGCATTGCTATTATATGGTATGCATGCAGATATATACATATATTGAGAATATAATAATTTAAAACTCCTCCTAAGTACCTTGACTAAAGAAAAAATTAAGTATCGTTTCTATTTTATATGCAAAAACTAAAGTATATGGAAATATTGTAGGGGTGCCTGGGTGGCTCAGTCATTAAGCTTCTGCCTTTGGGTCAGGTCATGATCCCAGGGTCCTGGGATCGAGCCCCACATCAGGCTCCCTGCTCCCAGGAAGCCTGCTTCTCCTTCTCCCACTCCCCCTGCTTGTGTTCCCTCTCTCGCTGTGTTTCTCTCTTTCAAATAAATAAATAAAATCATTTTTTTTTATTCTTATGTTAATCCCCATACATTACATCATTAGTTCTAGATGAAGTGTTCCATGATTCATTGTTTGTGCATAACACCCAGTGCTCCATGCAGAACGTGCCCTCCTCAATACCCACCACCAGGCTAACCCATCCTCCCACCCCCCTCCCCTCTAGAACCCTCAGTTTGTTTTTCAGAGTCCATCGTCTCTCATGGTTCGTCCACCCCTCCGATTTCCCCCGCCTCATTCTTCCCCTCCTGCTACCTTCTTCTTCTTTTTTTTTTTTTTCTTAACATATATTGCATTATTTGTTTCAGAGATACAGATCTGAGATTCAACAGTCTTGCACAATTCACAGCGCTAAATAAAATCATTTTTAAAAAAAGAAATATTGTATATTCCATACTAATAGAATTTATAAAAAATATTTTTATATTTCTAGCATGTTAATAATTATTTGACATTTTTTTAATTGCCTCGGTTCAATATATTGATTTCAGTGTTTTAAATTATAGTGATTACTTAATTCATTCAATTTGCAAAAAAACTTGGTTTCAGAAATATTCAAGTAACCTGGTATTTGGCTTAGGTTGAACTGTCAGTGGCCTTGAAAATAATAAATAACCATCAGTTTATTTTCCTGATGCAACATGTAAACAAGTGTGGTGTGGCTGGAAATCAGAGCCCAAGATTTCAGTTTTGATGAGGTTTTTATCTCAGTAAGCCAGCTCTCTTCGTCACGCAAGTTGATGCCCTTGGTCTAGTAATCTCTGACCTCGCTAGCTGAAAAGCATAAGACAGAGAAATAACTGTTGTCACTCTCATACTCTTAACCTCTGCCTCATTTGTCAGGTGAGGCAGCACACACTTGTCACATGAGATTGCAACAACCTTATTTTGAAAAAAATACCAAATATTTTAAACTTTGATAAAAGTACATTGACAATTGGGTGTTTATCAATGTGAAGTTTCATATCCCTTCAACAGTAAATACTTCTGGATATTTATCAAGTTATCCTGCTATAATCTGGATGTCAAGAAAGTTTTGACTTATCTGTTCTTTGAAGCATATGTTTAGATATGAGATATGTCAGGAGTCTAAACAAAATAAGAATATTCAATTAACTATTGACTTCTGTTAGTAAATAAGATTTAGAATATTAGCTGAATCCCCTGCAGGATGAGTTTTGAATCATTCATATTTCTACTAAGAAAATCAAGATATTTTGTGGGGATATAAGATCAGTATTTGTCATGTGAAAATATTTAAAATAGATTTTCAAGCAGCTAGATATTAGTTACGAATTTTAACACATATTTAGCCAAGATGAAATTAAGCTAAGGACAGGGTTTCTCAGCCTTTTTTTTCATTAGTGCCCCCCCCAAGGAATCTTTTTAGACAATTTTCATTCTAATCTCCCTCTTCCAGTAAAATTTTATTTCTACAATATACTGCATATCTGTGTACTATATATACGTCTGTGCTTTATACATAAAAGGAATGTGATTTTTTCACACCCCCAACACCACTTTTACCCCCTGGGGATGAGATCATTCCTACTGAGGATGCATGGCTAAGAGTGATAAGAGGCTATGAAGTGGACATGAAGACTCAGTGCTTTTTAGATTATGTAAATATAAAATAAAAATACTAACATAAGTCAAATTTTGAGAGTATTATCATTGTTATTTAATGGATATATATATTTTTTTAACTGAAATGTTCAAATTTGTTCTTTTTAAGTTAGAGCTATATTGGTAAGTGCGTTGACTGTGTGTGTGTGTGTGTGTGTGTGTGTGTGTGCATGCCTGTGTGGTTTACCAAACACCACTTTTAAATTATAAAAGATTTTATAAAAGCCATGACATTTTACTAGGACTTTTGGGGGGAATTTCTCTGTCTCCCATATAAGCCTGTAATTAAGAGATAAAGTATATTTAATTTGAGATGGGTACTTCACAGTTAAGTTTTTTTTAGTTAACCATTGTAATTGTTAAGGAAGAAAAATGAAAATTTAATTTTGCTCTCCAATGAGCTAATGAAATATTAACCTCATTATGGAGGCAGATCATTGTACTAATTGGTGATTCCCTGTACAAAAAGATAAATTGGAAAATGAATTAATCCTTCTTAGATTACTGTAGGGTTATTTCTCTGAAAGAGATGACTTGTGGTAGTAGTCTGTATCAATAGATAGACTTCAGGGATATGTTCAAATACCTTCCATGAAACAAATTTTTACATAGTAAAGATGGATGTGAACTAATTATATGTATTTTTAGATGTAAGACTTTTTTTCTTCTAGTTATATGACTCATATTACATACTTGGTTATGTTAGAATTTACGGTCAGTCCACCCTATATAAAAATTATTATACAAAAAAATCAAACTTATACTTAAAGAGATGTTCATCTTCATGTTCATACTGAACCTTTTTGATACACAGTGAGACCGATACCGATTAGCTATATTGCTGGTACCGGTGAGCATGAATGCGGACAGTGGACAGAATAACTGATTATTAGGAAAGATAAGAATAAGATAGTTGTTATCATGGGAACCTTTGAACACATCAAATTCTAAAGTTGGGAGAGAGTATAGAGAAAACTTTAGCTTCTCATTTTAAAAATATGAACCTGAGTATGATGGGGAAATAAAAGAATTTTCATAAAGTGTGGGATAAAAAACAAGACTAAATTCCTAAATCATTGCTTTTCCTTGTACACCACATTGCCATTCATGAAATGGAAAACTATAAATTAAATGGCAAGTTTTGGATCTCTATATAATTATCAAGAATGTAATTCTCATTTTAAGTGTGGCATATACCATATTGGTTAAAATAATTAGATTCACATTTTTACTAAACCATTCTAAAATGATTACTTTTGGAATATATTAAAATCAGACTCTCGGAATTTTAGGAGCCTTAAACATCATTAATTACTTTATATAACATCATCCAAATTATCTTCCATATACTTTTATGTATAAGCACATAGAACACATTTTTGCAAGTTTGAAAAGTGAGTGTAGTGACTATATTCTTTTTTTTACTTTTAAAAAAATTTTTAATTAAATTTTCACAAGATTGTATTATCTGAGTTTTTAAAATTGAATTGTTACAACCCTTTAACTTAAAGTCAGATATCATTCCTCACTTTGACACAGCAAAAGTTATACATTGTTAAATATTATGCATTGTTTGTATATTTTTTGTAGTCACAGTGTGCCCAGTATGCTGCTGATAGAAGAGAGGAAGAAAAGATGTGTGATCATCTCATAAGTGCTGCTAAACATCGAGATCACGTTACAGCAAACCAACTGAAACAGAAGATCCTTAACATTCTCACAAATAAGCATGGTGCTTGGGGAGCCGTTTCTCATAGGTGAGTTTCACAAATTTACAAGTAAATAATAAGTCACAGGTTATTTATAATAGTTAGAAGTTAAAAATTATAAACTTTAAAATTATGTAGAAAATATGATTTAAAGCATAAAAATTACTTGAATTTTTCCCTGATACCTTTAGTAATTCTTCTTTAGAATCCTTTAGAAGAAAATCTAAACTTGTAACAGAAGCTCCAATGGAAGTCATTTCTAATTTAATAGTAATATGTAATACAAAAAAAATTAGGCAAGTATTTTAGACTCCTATCTCTTATATGATGTATGTGAATTTTAAGAATTGGCTCTTTTTTTCATTTTTCAAGAGTCTACCTACTTATTAAATTTATATCACTCTTAATTTTTCTTATAAACAGGTAATAATATAAGCATTTACTATGGAGAGGTAACACATTCTTTGTAAAACTCTTCTTCCATATTTTTTTATTCATTCTTTCTTATGAAAGATTTTCATTGCAGATTAGGGCATTTTGATATCATAGTAGAAGTGAAACCAAAATCGGTTGTTTATGAATTAGGGATGTTCTCCTTCCTAAAGTTTTGTGGACCTAAAATTGTTTTGTTTTTTCCCTCTACACAATGAAGTTTTCTAGAAAAATAATAGTGAGGCAGTCACTATATTTCAATTGCTAAGGTTCATTTTTAGATCTCTATTTTATTTGATCCTATTAAATGTTTTTAAGTCTCTGGCAGAGTGTAGGGGTTAGTTAATTGTGAGCAGGGCACTACTAAGAAGAATTCTGATAGAAGTAATTCTATTAGTTAGGGAAGAACATCTAGAATATGACCACGATACTGTTTGGCCATCTCTCCTGGTATTTCAGGTGTGAGATAGACTTGGTAAATCTATAATTTTTGTATTTAAGGTAAAATTATAACTTAATGACTTTAAAAATAATCAACACTCAATATTTGTTTCTTATAATAATACTAATACTGTGACATCTAGCTTTTATTTAAGAAGATTTATTGTTTGCCAGGCATCATACTAAGAACTTTACATGAATTATTTCATTTAACCTTCAGAACATCTCTATTTAGGTTGGTACTCAAATGTGTTCCATATTATATTGAGGAAACTGGAGCTTTCAGAGGTTAAATAAAAATTTACATAGTATCACACAGCTTGTACAAGGAGAGACAGTGTTTCAGTCAGGGTTCTCCAGAAAAAAACAGAAAAACAGAACCAATGGGATATATGTGAGACATAGATAGACGTATAGGTATAGGTATTAATATAGATATAGATGCAGATTTATTTTAAGGAATTGGCTCACGTGATTATGAGGGCTAGTAAGTCTGAAATCTGTAGGATAGGGTGGCAGGCTGGAAACTAAGGCATGATTTTTGCTATAGTCCTGACACAGGAGTCCTTCTCCGATTAACCTCAAGGTTTATTTTGTTTTGTTTTTTTAAGTCCTTCAGCTAATTGGTTGAGGTCCACCCACATTTTATCTTTTATTTAAAGTCCAGTGATTGTTGATGTTAATCACATCTAGGAAATACCTGTGCGGCAACATCTAGACTATTATTATTTGACTAAACAACTGAGCACCATAGCCTAGTCAACTTGACATGTAAGGTTTAACATCATACATGGTAGCAATAACATGAGCATTTTGCCCACCTATAGACCTTGTCTTTTTGTATCCTCTGAATTGGATTTATTTACTTAGTTATATACGGCCAGGACTGTAACATAATATTGCTAATAATTCAGCTGATATGACTCAGAATATTGCCTTCGGTGTATAAAGATGTACGTGAGTTTGAGGTCTTAATTACTTCATCATGTAATTAGAATACAGTTAAGTCACCTCCATAACAGCAGTCATGTGTCAAGTGTATCCTCTGCTCAGCTGATCCTTTACTGGGTTTCATTAGAGATTGACAGAAAGACTGGCAGCAGGACCCCCTTAGACATAAAGGTAGCTTCTCTTCTTTTCTGCACATTAATTCCCAGTGCTGACTAACTAAAAACACACAAATTTCTGTTACCATCCTTTCCTAAATAGGTCACTGAACTCTAATAAATCTTTAAGAATAGGTTTTGTTCTCTATAGTCTTACTTAGTATTTGACTAATTAATAAGCTCAGTCATTAGATTGCTTCTCTTTTTTGTCTTACTCGCTCTCTAGGTAATTTTTACTAATCTCATGGCTTAAAAATACAACGACTATGTTGATAACTCCCCAATTTATTATCCCTAGTCCAGATCTTTCGCTTACCTCCAGACTTGTATATCTCTCTACCTACTTGGCGTCTTCTACTTAGATATCATACTTCAGATGACAAAACAGCTCCTAAGACTTTCTCCAAACAATATCCCTCTCAGCCGAGGGCAACTCCATTCTTAAAGTTGCCCAGGCCATAAATGTTGCTTTTATCCTAACTGCTCCTAATACATCACACATTGAGCCCTGCAGCACATCTTACTGACTCTGCTACAAAATATATCCAGCACATTACCTTTGCTATCCCCTTGATCCAAAATATTGCCATCATTTCTCACTTGACTTGTCCCGGCAGCATTTTCTATAGTCTTCCTGCTTCTGCCTTGATTCTCTTAAAGGCCATTCTCAACACGACAGCCTGGGTGACGTTTATTAAAATGTGGATCCTTTTGCTCCTCTGCTCAGAAACCCCGAGAGCCGTGCTGTGCAAGATGGTAACCACTAGTCACATGTAGCTATTGAAATTTAATAAAATTAAATTTAATTAAAAATGTAGTGTCACCTTTCAGGTACTCAGTATCCACATGTGGATGGTGGCTAGCATATTAGACAGCACAGAACACTTCCATTATTGCACAAAGTTCCATTGGACAGTGTTGCTCCAGAAGTTTCCTGTGAAACTTGTCCCACTGAAAGTTAAAATCCTTACAATGACCAGCAAGGACAGAGTGTGCTATTTTTGATAGAGTGGTCAGAGAAGTCCATTCTGATAAAGAACCACTTGGGTAAAGAACTGTCTGAGCATATCAAGCAGAGGAAACAGCCTGCAAAAGAAGGAGGGGCTTGGCCTATCCAAGAGCAGGCAGAGACCAGTATGGCTGCAGTGGAGTGAGCCATGGGATGAGAAGGGTATGATCTTTGTTAACTCTTTGACCTCCTCTCCTGCTACTCTCCCCTGGCTCATTTTATTCCAGTCACTGTGGCTTTTTGCTGTTTTTCAGGCTTTCAGGACATGCTTATTCTACTTGGAATGCTTTCTCCCAAACAATCTATGCAGGTACCTCTCCCACTTTCTTCCAGTTTTAATTCAAAATTAAAGATTTTGAATTAAATTAAATTAAAGTCATCTGTAGCTACTTCCCAAATATTTTATATTGTATTTCTCTGCTTTATTTTTCCTTTCCCTATTACTATCTTACATATTATATACTTTACTTATGTATCAGCTGTATTATTTTGTCTCCCACCAGAACACAAGCTCCATAATGGAAGGGATTTTTCTCTCTTTTGTCTACAGTAGTATACCTTGCACCTAGAATAATGCCTGATGCATGTTGCTAAATAAATATCCACTGAATAAATTAATAAATGAATACTTGATGTATACCCTTTTTTACAGAGATACTGGTGATGGAATGGAAAAATAAATTAGTCTATTGTCTGGGACAATTTTATATTTTAAATGAAATCATTTTATTAAATGACAAAAAGTACTCATCCCTGCATAAAACCAAAGCTCAGGTTCATCTGGAAAGTGAGATGAACAATTCCTATTTCATTGGGTTATTTAAATGGTAAAATGAAGTATTATATACAAAATGATTAACAGTGTCTAACACAGAGTAGACTTCTCATATTTGTTAGTCTCTTTTCTTTTTTGTTAGCTCTTTGAAAAGAGCCTTTTTAAAAAGACCTTATTTTTTTTAGAGCAGTTTTAGACTTACAACAGAGATTTCCCTTATATCCTCTCCCAACACACATGTATACCCTCTCCCATAATCAAGGTCATTCACCCAAATGGTACATTTTTTTAACCAAGACTGAACCTACCTTGACACAGCATAACATAATCACCCAAGGTCTGTAGTCCACCTGAGGGCTCACTCTTGGTGTTGTACATTCTATGGGTTGGGACAAATAGATGGTGACATGTGTCCATCATTATAATATCTTATGGAGTATCTTGGTTGCTTCCAAGTTTGGGCAGTTATGAATAAAGCTGCTATAAACATCCATGGGCAGGTTTTTGTGGACACTGGTTTTTAGCTCCTTTGGGTAAATACTAAAAAGCATGATTGATGAACGGTATGGTAAGAGTATGTTTAGTTCTGTAGAAACCACCAGAGTGTCTTGCAAGTGGCTATAACATTTTGCATTCTCACTACCAATGTATGAGAAATTCTGTTGTTCTACCTCCTTGCCAGCATTGGGTATTGTCAGTGTTCCAGATTTTAGCCGTTCTAATAGGTAAAGTAGTGGTATCTCATTGTTTTGATTTGCATATTCCTGATGACTTATGATGTGGAACACCATTTCATGTGCTTATTTTCCATATGTACATCTTCTTTGGTGAGGTGCCTGTTAAGTCTTTGACCTATTTTTTAACCAGGTTATTTGCTTTTATATTATTGAGTTTTAAGAGTTCTTCCTGTATTTTGCATAACTGTCCCTTATCAGATGTGTCTTTTGCAAATATTTTCTCCCCATCTGTGGCTTGTCTTTTCATTCTCTTGATAGTGTCTTTTGTAGTGCAGAAGTTATTAATGTTAATGAAGTCCGGCTTTTGTTGTTTATTTCATGGATAATATCTTCGGTGTTGTGTCTAAAAGGGCACCACTGTACCCAAAGTCATTTAGGTTTTCTCTTCTAGGAGTTTTATGGTTGTGCATTTTACATTTAGGTCTGTGATCCAGTTTTAACTAATTCTTTTGAAGGATGTAAAGTCTGTAGTCTATTTCTGGGTTCTCTGTTCCATTGACCTATTTGTCTATTCTTTCAGCAATACCATACTGTCTTGGTTAATGTGG